GTCTTTGTAAAATGGTAATTTATCTGCCAATTTATATTTTCTATTGCATTAGGGAAATTGTAAATGGCTTGCTCTATTAGAGACTTTTATGGAACTATCTCTAAAAAGGAACTTGTAAAGCTTTATGAGAATTTAAAAAATAAGAATTGAAGCAGTTTTTTAAGCAATTCATATTTTTAGATTGTGAATTGAGTAAATTGGTTATATGGAAGGGGAAAAAAAAGTGTATCCACATTTAACAAAGACCAGAGAGGTTAGTTTCTATAGCATTTCTTTTTTTCATTCCATCCTCAGAAAGCAGAAGAAAAGGACAAGTGAACATTTCCTACAAAAGCACAGTCATTTGTTCTCTGAATTCAATGCTACCAAAGTATGAAACCCATTGCAATAGACTCTGCCAAAGACATTCAGAAAGTCTAAAACCTCCTTTTGCTTTGAAAGATATTACTTCTGTAACATCTTCAAAGGAGCCAAATTTTCATCCTTTTCTGCACTTGTAAACCCCACATCGGAGGATATATTCTGGGCAACAAAATCAGTAAGAAAATGAGAGTCTTTACTATTAAAGTGAGGGGAAAAAATAATAGTCAAGAATTACATACAAAAGATATATTTGCATGTATTATGTTTAAGTTTAAGCCAAAAAGCATGTGTTGGATATTTTTAATAATTCCATTTTAAAATGCAAGCATTATTTTAATCTATAATTGATACTGAGGCACAAAATGATACATAATTCTCACATACTTGTTTCAAAGTTTTCAGAAGTGTCAATAGACTGTTCAGAGGTATAATGTTCATTAAATAGTATTTGTATGTAATTATTTTGCATTTCTGGTAGATTTAACGTGTAAAGTGCTTAGAGTCATTTACGATTTTTCTAGGCATGGCATTTTCTTTTAGCAATGCCATTGGCTTTTTAAATATTGTTTCCCATTAATAAAAGGAAGTAACATTTTAAATTAAGGAACGAATCTAAGCTTTAAATAAATTGCATATGATTTACAACTGCAAATCTGGCATTTAAATAGGCTTGTACTATTCAAAATATGTTCTCTCATTACATGGTTTAGGTTTGAAGTATAAACTATTGTTCATAATCTTAAACCTCCATTAAAATGTCTTGTTTCCATCCTAAATATTAAAACAGATCCTTAAGATATGATGTGAAGCATATGTAGTTAATTAGGTAAGCAATAGTGGGACATTGTTTGGTCAAACCGAAGGTGTATTTCATCTCAGAAATGCTGAAATTATCTCTTAAGGCACTACAGCGTGGATTTCCATTTGTTATTAAATATGCATTTCTCTCACATAGACTTTCTTTAAAAGGATAGTTTTACCAAATATCATTAATAAATGACATTTATGAACTGCTGCCTCCAACTGCCTTGGATTATTTCTGAGAACTCATCATTACTCTGATATATTGTTCACATTCCATGTTCTTGAGCTCTTGAAAATATTTATTTTTCAAATATTTCCATGTTGGTTAAAGAAAAAGATTAAGAAAGGCCCGTGGCACAAAAGATCATATGACTTAAAAGGTAGTCAGTGATTTATGACATTGTTACCGCCCATCATTGAGTAAATGAGGCTTGAAACTGACTAATGTTTCTCTTCATTTTGTTTGTTGGAAACATTTATAACTTCCTCCAGGGATTTTTTAGTGCTGCGTTGTAGAGTGGTAGTTGTGGGTAGGAGGGAGGGAAAAATCTTAAACTGTTATTTGGTTTTAATTACATTTGAGGGATAATACTTTAGACTCTGGGTTACTCAGAATACCTTTGTAAACTTCTTTTGCATTTTTTTTTGAACAACAAATACATCAATAAAGGCAAAAACTAGCACTGATAACAGAATCCATTTCAAATCAACGTTTCTTCAAACGATCAATTAATCTTTTTCTAGTTTTCTGTGCCTATATCAAATCATAGAAATTAGATTCTCTCAATTTCTTTTTTAGAAACAGTGTAAGCCACCTGAAATAAAAATGCACAGAAGATATTATGGTTTGAGCTGTTATATAAAGTGGCACTAGAATAGACATTAGGAAAAGTTCTATCACTTCAAAAAGAAAAGAAAGTGTATGAACTACCTTTGATGTTTTTACTGTGAAGTTAAGAGATCTCTTAATGCACACCTCTGACTTCTGTTTTTATGTTCAAGTATTACACTCAAAAAAAGCTCTTTATTTTTTTCCCAAGGGTCCAAGTTGAACCCCAACTGTAGCCATCTTTGGATTAAGTGAAGTGGTGATCCACTTTACATTAATTCCTGAGGTAAATAATTTACTTTTTGGAAAACTGATCAAGAATCACATTTTAGTTTCAGGGTTTAGGATAAGCATAGATAAGAAAGATCGCTTTTAAATACAGCACCAATGTTTTTCTCTCAGCTTTAGTCTTGGAAGAAGAGCCTAAACTAGAACACAAATGATAACACCAAGAATTTATTTAAAATTTAGCAAGTCACCAAGAATTTAATGTACTATTATTTTGAGGATGTGTAACAAAATAATAGTTGAAGAGAGTGAGCACCAGACAGATTTTGATTTAAGCTACCTTTTGCTGCTTATTGTGCATAGTCATGGGTAAGTTACTTGATGTCTTTGAAGCTTAGTGACTTCTAAATTGGTATTAAAACAATAATAGTCTAGGGGCACCTGGGTGGCTCAGTCAGTTAAGCTTCTTCCTTCAACTCAGGTCATGATCCCAGGGTGACCCTGGGGTTGAGCCCCCATAGCCTGTCATGTAGGACTCCTTGCTCAGCAGGGGGTCTGCTTTTCCCTCTCCCTCTGCCTCTCCTACCCACTTCTGCTCTTTCTCAAATGAATAAATGAAACCTTAAAAAAAAAAACAATGATAGTCTATTTTTATTTTTTATTTTTTGGTTTACTTTCAAGGAAGTAATCCAATTTAACATATAAAACATTAGCACAGTGGCAGCCACAAATAAGTTTTCAAAAATATGTTTTATAAATACACAAAATGGTATGTTATTTAAGAGCTGAGGTCTGCTTTCGGGTATAGTTGATTGTCCAGGATTTACTCCTTACTGGCCTTGAGACCTTGGGAAGGCTTTTTTAAAAATTTTGATACTTACGTTTCCTTAAATGCAGAAACAGATAGTAAAAGAGCCTACCTACATCAGCTCTGTTTGGATGTGATAATATGCTGGGCACAGGTTAAGTTTATAACAAATATTAGTTGATTTATTCCTGGTGTTACTAGACGATTATATGATTATAATTATATATATATATATATATATTTCAGGCTACACTGGAAGTTGGACTCACCTACAAATGGAAAGTGGAAAGCAGAAGGGGATATCTGCATCTGCTTATTCTTGTGCCTTTAGTGGGCCTTGCTGGCATTGGTAATTTCAGCCCCAGCAGCATGAGGAGATAGTATCACAGCAAGCCCAAAAAGGAGCATACAGAAATGCTAGAAACCATGTGGTGATCAAGGAGAACAGCTTCAATGGTACATGTAAGTCACCCCCTAAGAAATCTACAAAACTAGCTGGGAAGAAATGGTTGGAAGTGCAACCACTTGTGCAATATGCACAAGATGCAAAAATCATAGAAATGCTATTTTGTGTTTATTTTTAACCCTGGAATAGCCCTACTGCATTGCCACATAAAATTATTATTTGTTACACTCTCTTTCTTCTCCCTAAACCTTATAGTCATTTCATAGTTGTTCCTGAAACTAGTCATTTCTTCCCCATGATCATGCACATGAGATGTTCTATGTGGGAATAGCTGAATACACTCCAGACCAAAATACCCCATCACCCTTAATGAATACCAGCAGTGGTACCAACATTTCTGGTTTGCTGCCATGTGGCACAGCTATCTAGATAAGCACCAGCAATTCAGGGTGTTGACATGCCAGAATCAGCTTCTCCTCTTTTTCTTTCAGATTTTACTTCACTTTTTGAGAGAGAGCATGAGCAAGGGGAAGGGCAGAGGGAGGGGAAGAAGCAGGCTTGCCACTAAGCAGGGAGCCTGACATGGAGTTCGACCCCAGGACCCTGGGATCACGACCTGAGCCAAAAGCAGAGGCTTAACTGACTGAACCATTCAGCTGCCCCTAGCTTCTCTTCTAAATAAATAATTTGAAAGGGATAAATACATAGAAAGATATTTTATTAAAGTCTCTTCTTCTTTAGCATTGTCTATAAGAGAAGAGCAAGAAAATACAGAAAACCAGCCCACAGTTGGTGACTTACTATATTTTACCATTGATACATGCATTAAAGATAACTAATATGGAGGGCCAATTTGACTTAGAAAGGCTTGACTTCAAGCCCAACACATCAGAATAACAGATTAAATGTATTACTAAACATATCAAAGGAAGAAAAATACAAAATTCCAGAAATAAAAAGAAGAGTCAAAATTTAAAGAATAGGTAAGGGAGGTATCTGGAAGAGTCAGTAATATATGAATGAAATATAAACTTAAATGATGAAACTGAAGCTCTAACACTGACTTCTAGAATGGGTTCAGGATACAGGCTCTAGATACAAGCCTTTGGAAGCACTGAGAAAATTTTCTATGCACTTATGGCCTGATGATAAAAATTATAAAACTGCATCCATTTTCATTCAAATTGAGGGATAGCTGTTACTCTACAAACATGATGCAGAAACGCAAAGTTAAATTAAAAGCAAGTTTGGAACCAGTAGAGAACAAAGGGCCCGGAGCAGAGTCACCTACAAATATACCTCATGGAGACAATTCTAACAACACAGAACTCTGTAGAAAATAAACGACACAGTAAATAAACTTATACTGACATTTTATAAACCATAAGAAGAAATAAACCAGGCTTATTAAAGAAGCTTTTGGAAAAGTGTGTGTAAGATTATCAGAGAGGAAAAGGAAAGAATAGAAAATATGAGATATTGAGAAAGGCAGCATTATGCACAGTTTCTTAACCCCAACTCAGCCCCATAGAATGGGCCTTAGGCCTGGAATATTTTCTTACCATGAGATAAAGGATTCTTATGGCTTGAACTGGACTTGCTGCCTTGTGTGGGATTATCTTTCCCAGTTTCAGACTCATTGTGTACTCCTTTGTCCTGCTTGAGCATGTGTGGCATATGGCACCTGGCCAATCCCACTACTATATTTGTCCCCTGCAGAGGGGAGGTGGGGTTCTTCTGATTTAGCACAAAAGAAGTGCATGCAGGCCAATTGCCCTGCTTGGGCTGCCAGGAGAGATCTGCAGGCCCTGGGACCTGCTGGCACACACAACTGAAACTGATCTTGCTCTGCCTTTTCTGTGTGAGCAAAGCATTGTTCCATCCAGTACTTGACTGATGTCTTCTCTTTGGTGACTCTGATGCTAAGATCAGTGAGCTGAAGTGTTTAGACTCCTGATAATAGGTGACCAATACCACTTGCTAAATGTAAGATTGGTATAAAAAAGAAACAGGAAAATGTAACAAAGCACCAACAAAATAAAAAAAAATAAATAAAAGCCCTGCCAAAAATCACTCTAGAAATGAATTCCATTTAGAATAGCAGAATTGCATTTTAAAAAATGAATACAATGGAGAAAAAGATTGAAGAATTTAAATATAGATCTGAGGAAATCACCTAGAATGCAAAGAGAAAAAAATAAAGAGGTGCAAAATATAAAAGATAAATTGAACATGATATATATAATGGGAAGATCCTGCATGTTAATAGACATTTCAGGAGGAGAAAATGGAGACAATAATAAAGAGGCAGAGTCTTAAGTGATAATGGTAGCTATTTTCTCTTCAGAGTTAAGGAATACATGAATTCTTAGATTAAATAAGCCCATCAAGTCCCAATAAAATTAAAAAGATCAAAAATATTCCACTTTTAAATGCATAGTGGTGAGTTTGCAAGACATCAGAAACATTAAAAAATGTACAAAAAAGAAAGATTTCTTATTAAAAAAAAACAGTAATTTGATTTATAGCAGTTTTCACATTAGAAAAAAATAAATCTCTCTCTCTCTCTCTCTATCTCTCTCTAAATGAATAAACAAAATCTTTTTTTAAAAAGGGGCAGAGTACCTGGATGGCTCAATTGGTTGAGGATTCGACTCTTGGTTTCTGCTTAGGTCATGATCTCAATGTCCAGAGACTGAGCTCCGTGCTGGGCTCTGTACTCAGCATGTAGTCTGCTTGTCCCTCTGTCTCTATGTGTGCTCTGCGTGCACACACACACACACACACACACACACTCTCTAAATGAATAAATGCAATCTTTAAAAAAAAAGAAAAAAACGAAATGTGGATAATAATTTCAAAATCCTGAGGTAAAACAAATGTACATTTCAAATGAATTATTTACAAATCATCCCTTAGAGAATTATCAAAGGATGTTCTTCAGGAAGAAGGTAACTGAATTTTAAAGGGGGGGGGAAGAGTAGGTTTCAATAAGAATTAATGATTAATAATTGAAAAATGCTAGTATAGTTAAATAAAAATTGAAAACTTTATAATAATGAGCAATGGAGTACTTAAAAACAATCTGAAACTAAAATTACAGGGAAGTAGAATGAGGAAAAGCAGATTTAAAGTGAGCTAATGATTTTATATTATTCTAAAAGAAATTTGAGGATAATAAGGAGTTTTTTAATAAACTATTCATGTATGTTAAAGTGTATGGGTAACTCTGAATGATAGAAAATAAAATGCAAAACTTTTAAAGTTGAATGGGAGGAGCGGGGGAAATGAAAATAGGATCAATTCAACAGAAAATAAACTATTTGGAGGGAGGTTATCAAATATATCAACAGGTGCCATAAGTTAATATTGGGATAACTACTCTAGAAAGCATTGGAAATTTGGAAATATCTAACAATTTTGAAATATGTATAATTAATGCCACAATACTTTTATATCCCTAGACGTAGTCTAGGAACTTTTGCACTGAGTACTAACAGACATAAGGAAGAATGTTTTTGTTTCTGTCTGCATTGTTTGTTATAGAAAGAAACTGGAAACAATATAAATATTTATCGGAACAGAAATGGGTAAAGTGTGATTTATTTGTATGTTAAAGTATAATACTGCAATTAAAATGAATAAACTCTACCTGGGAATGTAGCCCTAGATAGAATCTAAAAAATACACTATTGACTTACCCTATAAGTTTTTGGTTTTCCATGCGGCCATAAAAGATTAACACAAACACAGTGGCTTAAACAAGATAGAAGCATTGCCTGAGAGTTTTTTAGGTCAGGAATCTAACATAGGTCTCATCAGGCTAAGATCAACAGGGTGTTAGGACTGTCTTCCTTTCTGTAGACTCCAGGGGAGAATCTTTACATGTAGTTGCAGGACTATCTTAAGATTCAGTCTTTTGCCTTCTGTCATCAATCTCTCAGACCAAAGCCAGGATATATTCTTTACTTTTAATGGTTCATGTGATTTCTTTATACCCACCTGAATAATCAAGAATAATCTCCCTATCTCAAAGTCCTTAACCTTAATGAGAACTACAAGATCCCCTTTACTCTGTTTACCTATTGACAGGTGCCAATGAATAGGGCATGGACATACCCCAGGAGGCCATTATCCTGCCCACAATATAACCCAACCACTTAAAGGCTCATATATATATCAAATATAATTATCTGCATTCCAACATCTCCAATCCATTCTGGAATCATCTCTAAATCCAACAATCTCAATGCAGTTTCATCTCAGAAGTACAAAATGTCATCATCTTAATTAATTAATTATTACTTTCTTATTTAGAGAGCATGCACATGATTGGGAGCGGCAGGAGAAAGAGAAAAAGAGAATCTCAAGGAGGCTCTGTTTGCAGAGCCTGACACAGGGCTCAATCTTATCACCCCAAGATATTGACCTGAGCCAAAATCAAGAGTGTGACACTCAATCTACAAGCCACCCAGGCATCCCAAACACCTAAATCATCTCAACTGGGTATGGGTGAGTCTCAGTATAATCCATCCTCCAGCATAATTTCTCTCCACCTGTGGACTTGGAAAACTAATAAAAGTTTATATGCTGCCAAAATCCAACAGTAGAACAACAATAGAGTAAGAGCTAATATATCAGTTTAAAACAGAAAAAAAATTGGAGGAAAACAGAGACACTAATCTCATACAATCTTGAAATTCAGTCACACAAATGCCATTAGGTTTCAAGGTCTAAGAAGAATCCTCTTTCTGTCCTTGTACCTCTGTCCTCTGGCTCAAGGCTCTGTGCTCTAAATCATCCTTTTTTCATAAGTGGTAGTAGGTTTTTGCAGCTGAATAGTTCTATCAACTTGTTTCTTGCCATGAGAATCTGGGGAATCCAATAGTTTTTTTTAATTTTATGTCTTTTCTCTCTCTTTCAGTCTAACCTGCAGTATTTCTGCTGATATAAAATTCTCAAAAACTTTTATAGATCTCCCATAAATGTTACAAAGATTCACTCAATTAAACAAGAGAATTGTCCATGGATCTGTCCTAGATAATTTATTATGATAGCATTCGCAATAAGGTTTAAAAACACATCAGTGTTAGATACTGTTCATGGATAATAGGTACACAGTGAAATAAAAATATGAGTAAGAAGAATACACAGTGAATTCATAATAGCATTCTATATGAAGAAGAAAATGGAAAGAGAAATAGAAAAAGGGGATGGATTTTTAAAAGGTCTTTAATTTTAAAGGATTATTAAAACAACAACTAGTGATTCTATAGCAAAAATAGAAATGTTAGCCTTTGTTTATTCAAAATTGTACATATCCAACTGTGTAATATTAGTTTCTTTATTCTCTACAATTAAAAAAATACAACAACTGAAAATATGAAAATAATTCTTTAGGGAGTTGTTCTGATAAATGGATTTTAGGTCAACATCCCTACAAACGTTCTCAGTTGAACATTCAGCAGCCGAACAGTGGGCTTTCTGGAGCAAGCCAAGGCCTCTAAAGATGCCATTTTGCAGAGACAGATGGGCAAATAGATACTGTCCAACATGTAGCATATGCTTCTCTGTGGAGTTCAGAAAATGCTTTCTAGGTGTCATTTTTACATAGTGTTAGTTACAGAAGTAGACATTGGTTATTAATATCCCAGAATGCCATCGTTTATCTCATGAGAATTTGTGAGACTGCCCTAGTACTCTATTAAACTTTTGAAAAGCCAGATATACTAACCCTTGAAATTGCTCTGAATTGGGTTTAATTATTTATATGTGTTTGTTGGGAGATGTAATTTTAATTTTTTGAACCTAATAAATAAAACAAAACAATTTAGTATCTATTAATGAAGCTGCCAAATATATAAACCAGCTGCCTTTATTTCTTTTTACGAAAAATAGTTGATTAAAAGAAGTTTCACATGTTGCTGCTATTTTCATCATGATATATACTTCTTACTGTTGGTGATACTGGGGAGTACATGCTCATAGTCTTTATTACTTCTGTTTCAGAAAAGAGAAGTACCAAATGTGACCACCAGCAGTTTTCAGTTAAGGCAATGTCCTTCTTATTTTTTTTTTTAATTTTTTTTTTTATTTATTTATGATAGTCACAGAGAGAGAGAGAGAGAGAGGCAGAGACACAGGCAGAGGGAGAAGCAGGCTCCATGCACCGGGAGCCCGATGTGGGATTCGATCCCGGGTCTCCAGGATCGCGCCCTGGGCCAAAGGCAGGCGCCAAACCGCTGCGCCACCCAGGGATCCCCAATGTCCTTCTTATTAACCCAAATCTGAGAGGAGATGAAAACAGCATTTTCAGGAGACAGCACAATGGAGTTCTCATTTAGTTAAAAAGTAAAGTAATCCAAATCCCTACAAATTATGTTGAAGATATTAACAAACTGATGCTAAAGTCTCTAGGGAGAGACAAAAGACTCAGAAATATGCACACAATATTGAAGGAAAAGAACAAGGCTAGAAGACCAATGCTAGCTAACTTCAAGATTCTCCTTAAGCTCAAGTAATCAAGGTGGTAGTATTAGAAAAATAATAGACAAACAGATCAATAAAACAGAATAGAGAACCCAGAAACAGACCCTCATAAGTACAGTCAACTGATCACTGACAACGCAGCAAAAAGAACACAGTGAAGCAA